CTGCAGGCACCTCCCTGGCAGCTGGCAGTGGAGGAGCAGGGAGCAGGAGACTTCATGACGCGGAGGCACTGTGCCCAGCTTCCTGCCGCAGCGGCGTGGGGCTACACTCATGCCACCAGGTCATAGTAACTGACCCTCTGGTCCAAATGTGCTGGCACCTGGGCCAGTGACTTTGCAATGATCTGTGACAGCACAAAAGATCAGGAGCTCGTGTCAAAGAGGAGGCATTATTGCTTCAGTGACACGCAGGCACCGTTGAAAGTGAGCTGTGCTTATGCCCTCGGCTGACAAAGCGACCAGAGCCTGCTGTGCTGGGCCTGCCCGGGGCCAAGCCCATGGGAGCAGGACAGTCCCTGCGGATGTACAGGGACGAGAGGGACACGGACCCAGCCTTGTGACAAACTGCCTCCCTCGGTCCCTCTCTCACCCCGCTGCTTCCCCACTCTCCTGACGCCTCCTCGGCTATGCCTGCACCTCCATAGATGTAGAGAACATCAGCCCCTGAGGTACTAGAACAAAAGCTAGGACCCCCCCCTTTTACTCTGTTGACCGGAATCAAAGTCTTAATAATCATGAGGCAGAGTCTGTTAATAACTGAAGTGAGGACTTAAACCTGTGAAGCAGGCCGACAGGCTTTATCCTGAGTCCTGTCCCGACCATGACGAGTCTGAGTTGCGTATGCACAGGGTCAGTGACAGAAATGTTCTGCTGGCTTGGGTCTATAGGCTTAGATCTCTCAATCTCCAAGTCACCTTGACCTAAGATTGGTTGTTGCTATTTATGTGCGGGGCAGGGGGAGGGCAAATGTTGGGGTTTAATCACCTTCCTATTTTTAAAGAACACAGGGCAGAGATGAGAAGGCTGGGGCCCAATGTTGAAATCTTCTTTGCCAGCCCCTTAGTCGTGAGCAGGATTAGAAGGCTGGTCTAGCCCCAGGCAACAGATTTGTGCCCGGCTGCGTCCCAGAACAGGGCAGAGCCTGTGCTGACTTCAGGTCTATGCAGATGGTTTTTCTTGCTTGTCTGCTAGAGGGGATGGGGCGTGGGGAGTGGGGGTGGGGGGTGGAGGATACGGGAGTGGGGGGCTGCAATATGTTCACAGCTCCTTATTGAAATGGAATTTTGAAAATGAGTATTGATGGAGGCCTATTTGTACACAGTCAGTCCACTTCTGTTAGCGCATGGCCGGAGATCCCAAACTACTAGGGACTCACGGCAAAGGAAGCAGACTCTTCCTGTGAATGATTTTTAATCAAATTGGTGGGCAGTGAGAGGAAGAAAGGATTTCCAGTAGCAGACTCCTGATAAACTCCAAATCCCAATCTTCTGTGGGCAAATGCCCCGGCAAACAGCCCCGGCAAACACCCAAAAACTTGCCACCAGTCTAAGGTAGCTTCTGGCAGGGAACCACAAGAAAGGGGTTAGATTGGTGCCGGCCCAGAGAGCTGGAACAGGAGATATTCGAGACTCAAAATATAACACGTAATCCACACTGAGGTTGAGATAACGGGTGCCATTGTCCCCGCCAAGGTCCAGGAGCAGCCCCCCATGTGTCTCTCAGCCACATCTCTCCCAAGTACCTCTACATGCCTCACCTCCACATGTCTCCTTCCAGCAAGACCAGGGTGCAAGCTGGAGCCAGAAAAGCGAGAGCAAGCAGGCCTACCTGCCTTCCATGTAATGTCAGGCCACCTGGCCACTCAGCTCAGCCCCCAGTTCCCAGCAGTGCCCCTGCTCAGGGAGGCTGGTTCTCATACACAGGGCCTTGTCCTCCAAGGCAGCCGCAGGTAAGTGGGGGCAAGGAAAATGGTGCCTCCCTTCATGGAGGTGTACTGTAACACTTCTTTCCAGACTGTGGATTTTATCTTTGGATTTACTCCAGCATCAGGGATCAGGTAACCCAACCTCCATGTTTTGGCATCTTGTACACAGCTCACAGATTGGATCGGCATGTTACGCGAATTCATCAGCCTGTGCTGAGAGTACACAGACCTTGTGGGTTCACTGTGGGATGATGTTTGAGGCATCATCAGTTACGTTACACTCTGGTCTGATCAGGAGAACCCTGTCTTCTTGGAGAAATTTCTTGCAAGTCTTATTTCAGGTACAATGGACTCCTCTGGTTTGTTTTTATCACGTAAACACTGTGAATCATGTTACTAATCATAATTTATCTTTTTTTTTTTTTAAACATTTTTTATTTTTTATTTTTTTATTTTTTTTTAATTTTCTAGAGGCATGTCTTATTTATTTATTTATTTATTATTTGTTTGTTTGTTTGGTTTATACATGCACTGGGTACAGTCAGAAGCGTGGGAGGGTGAGAGAATTCACCAGAGCCAGAGCGGGGAGCAGAGCAGGCAGAAGGACCGAAGTACACTGCTGAGGGGAGCAGCGGGCGGCAGGAGAGGTCTGCTCACCATGTGGGACCCTCCTCCGGTGGCCGGGGAGCAGCCGGGGATCGAGCCGGCTGCAGAGGCTGCAGGCAGCTTCGCAACCCAGCACTCAACCGCTGCGCCACCGGGGAGGCCCCATAATTTATCTTTTATTTGGCCGCATGAAGACTTGGAATCAAGTGGGAGACTGGCCTGGCATAAACAGAATTCCATAATGTGTATCTTGGGTGTGATCTGTGGCTTCAACTTATTTTCCCTTTCTTACTTGTTGAGTTATGAACATCCCAGGATGTTGCCTTAGATATGTTCTTAGAAGAAGAAAGGATGGTGTTAATCCCATAAAGGAATCCAAACCTACATATCTAAATTAATCTACCCCTTCTAAAAGTGACACCATTGACCAAATATTCCAAAGTGACTCCTGCCCTCACTGCTTCCTCTCCCAGCACCCACCCCAACGCCTCATGCAAGGTCTCCAGATCCCGCCCATCTTAAATAGCTCCCGATCTTGCCCCTTCAAGTCCACCTCCACCTCATTTTCCAGGTCACCCTCCTTGATGACTTACGTGGAATAGTGAAAAGCCCTTTCACCCTATCCTTACCTGCACTGGCCTTTCCCAAAACACACCAGTGCTCAAACACTTCCAGGGCATTCTATTGCCCTCAGGAGAAAGTTTCAACCCCAAACCATAACACTCAGAGGGTCTGAATTCTACCCACCTTCCTAAGCACGTCTACTTTTCTGCTGCCACTGTCCCCTGCTCTGGCCATAACAGTCACAGTAGCCTTTGAGTAGATCTTTTATCCTCTGTATCTTTGTGCACATCACCCCCTCTGCGTGGAAAGCTGCTCTTTTGCCTGACAAAAATCCTTCCAGACCCGGTGCAGAGGTTTGAGGCAGGAGGAAGACTCAGGGGAATTAGTAGTTCTCCTCTGAGACCCCAGTCATATTTTGCACAGGCTTCTGTTTCAGTTGTTACGTAGACAGACCGGTATCTTCCAAGGCGGGGCCTGGTGGCTGCTTCACTTCTGTACAGCACAGCCCTGCTTGGGGCTAGGCAGAACAAGTTCCGGACACATTTGTTGACAATGACTGAATCCCATATTTGACAGATGGGAAAACTGAGGCCCATGGCAATAACCCAGTGGCTACAGACAAGACAGTGCAGGCCTACTGGTGCTCTGCTTTTCTCTTAACTAGAACAATTTGCTCGGGATCTTCAGTGACATGGCTCAATCTTTTAAACTCTCATCACAATTTTAAATGGTCTTATTTGGTGCGTGATGGTGGCTGTGCTGTTCTCTGTACGCAGCCTGGCACCGTGCCTGGCACAAGGAAGCCTTCTGGAAGAATTTATTTGAGTGAATGGGGTACTCGGGATCTCAGAGCTCCTTTCCCAGTAAGGGGTTACTGAACCCCAAGTCTCATGCTGTGAAAAACTCAACCAACTCAAACAGATTTGAGCTGTCCTTTATAAATGGTGCGACTTTTGTCAAGTTATTATCTCTTAGCCTTAAAGCTTAATTTTCTTTGTAAGAGGAGACAAAACAGGTCATAAACTCCTGTCTGCAATTCTGAAATTAAAAAAAATTGCAAATCGTTGGCAAAAACTAAACTGACCTGATTTACTAAGCAGCAAAGTCAGTCTTGAACTGATGTGAGGCTATTTATATTTATCCCACTCCTTGTGAATATTCATTTTTCCTTATAGGATTAATGTGTTTCATTAGAGTTTTGGGAGGATTACATAACACACAGCATGTGTACCATATTGCAGGATATTATTTAAAAATTGAAAAAGGCTTAATTTGGAAACACATCTGGCCTAGCCCGAGGGGTTAAGGGTGAATCCTGAGCAAGCACCCCGGGGCCGGAGGGCAATTAGGAGCCGCGCGGGAACTCAGGCGGGGACCCGCAGGAGTCTGGGGAGCCCTGCAGAAGGTCTGGGGCCCCGGGATCCTCGGCTCTGCGCGGCGGGGGCAGCTGGACGCCGGGCCTGGGGCCGAGACCCCCGCACTGGCGGGGGTGGCAGGCGTGAGGTGTGAGGGAAATCGGGGCCCATCACGGCAGTGGCACAGGACTGGCGGCAGGGCCCTGGGGTGGCGCCAGAAAACCTGCGTTTCATTCATTCTCTGCAACCCAGAGCCGGCGGGAGGGGGCGCCTCCTTCCACCTCAAGGCGCCTGCAAAACGCTAATAACCCCGACCTGGGAGGCGCGGAAACGGGCCACCTCGCGTGGGCGCGCTTTGGAGCTGCAGCCCCAAGCCCGCCGCTCGGTTCCGGGAGTGAGAGCGTTTCGGGCAAAAAGAAGCGACGCGCTGTTTCCCCGCAGCCTGGCGGCGCGACTCCTGAAACGAGGTTACGGCCCAACGTCGTGCGCCAGTCCCTTTCCAGCCCAGCGTTCGCGAGCCTCGCACCAGGTTTGGGCTCAGCCGCTTACCGTAGAACCCAACTCCTGCTTCCGAGGTTGACGTCTTTTCGGAACGGACGCCGGGAGCCGCTGAGCATGCGCGGAAAGAGCGTTTCCCCCTCCCGGTCCCCGCCCCGACGTCCTCCGCGGGCGCGCGCTCACACGCCGGAAGGGGCGGGGCTAGGGTGGATTTATATAGTGAGCATCTGCCTGCGGCCGACCTCTACTGGCGGCTTGGGACGGAGCTATGGTACGTACCACAATGGCGGCCTGCCCGTCTGTATGGGCGGCGTGGCTGAATCCGTGGCGCATCGCCGGCATCGCGGCTCGGCCCGCGTCGGGAATCTGTTATGGGAGCACAGGCGACTAAGCTCGCTCCCTGGTTAGGCCTATTTTCTTAAAACTTCGGCAGCCCGTTCTGCCGTTGGTCCTTGTGGCCGGCGCCGGGTTGCAGGCCCGGGTCAGACAAGCCCCGTATGATTTCTGGGCCTCGGTTTGATCAGTTTAGTGCTAATCAAGGTTAGGGCCCGTCAGCGTTGGTGCCACTCGCTAAGCTGGGAGGTGCAGCCAGGGCGGGGGTGGGGGGAGGCTTGGTGCGAGGCATGGGGGGGGCCTCCCCAAAGGCTTGGGCGGCTGCTGCAACTCAAGCCTCTGGAGCGCCAGATGCCACGCGTGATGAACTTCTTGACGGGCGGACAGAGACTCTGTGCTGATTGTCAGGTTCTGATTTGGCTCTGGAGTTCCGGTGGCCCACGAGAGCAGTGTGGCGGGAGGCCCCCCTGGTAGGCCATTTTCTGCTTCCCAGACCGGGAAAGGGATCAGCCTTGCTTTTTAATTAATTAGTATAAGATATTTTTGAGTGCTGGCACCTGGTGTGGTTTTGTCTAATTTCGAAAAAGGAACGTGCTCTTTTAAATAGTGAGCGTTGGGGATCAAGGGCCAGTGTAGAGGAGCACTGCCTCCTACATGTGTGATCCTCCAAAAAGCCAGCCAGGTACCCGAGGTTGCTGGGTGCCTGATAAGTACCCGTGGCTGGAAATCCTCTGAAAACCTAGGTACCCTGGACCCAGAGAAGTGGGAGCTGCTTACAAGTTTATGTGCTAATATTATGCGGTCATTTTCCCTAGTCTCACAGGAAGTTCTCCGCTCCCAGACATGGGTCCTTGGGCTTCTTGCCTCGGAAGCGCAGCAGCCGGCACCGAGGGAAGGTGAAGAGTTTCCCCAAGGATGATTCCACCAAGCCTGTCCACCTCACAGCCTTCTTGGGCTACAAGGCTGGCATGACCCACATTGTCCGCGAGGTGGATAGGCCAGGATCCAGTATGTATACACTGCATTCTTCAAGCTGAAGGGGACAGGAGGAGGTAGTTGAGGGTGGGGGTGGGCTGGAGTTGGGACCAAGCTGTCAGAAAGGCGGACTAGAGTCGTGTATGGCTTGACTTGTATTCCCGGGATACACCTGACTGACGCTTAATGCTTTGGGCATGCGTGAAGTCGGGGTGTGATGGTGAACACTAAAATTGTGCTAAGCCACAGCACAGCTGAAGCGCTGACTTGGGAGAGTGCACCTGCTGAGGATTGAGTAGGACAGACGTTCATTTTGGCAGCAGTGAAATGAGTGTCCTTCGAAAGCTTGATTGCGCATTTTCCGAGTCTGAGTTGTGAACAGACAGGCGTTGACAGTGTTGAGGCTTAGACCACAGTAGGTTCTAATATTAGGTAGTTAACATTTCTCTACTGAGCTTAGAGCTGTTATCATGTCCTGTTGTCTTTCCTACTGCTGTATTACATAGGCAATAAAGTTGTTTCTAGGGTTTCTACAATAGACAGGCAGTTAAGGTATTTTATTAATTTTGGCAAGCTAGGGTCCTGGTCTGATTTCAGTTAATCTAAATGCATGCAGACAAGTACATAGTGGGGACAGCCCTAGGAGACCAGACTGATACTGAATTGATTTACATTCAAGCTCACATGAAGCAAGTTGCTTTTTTCACATAAACTGACAATTCACTTTACTGTGCAACACCCCAAGTATTTCTTGCGGGGACTATCTAGTAGCCAATTCAAGCCTACTCCTTTCTTTGCAGAGGTGAACAAGAAGGAAGTGGTGGAAGCTGTGACCATTGTGGAGACACCGCCCATGGTGGTGGTGGGCATCGTGGGTTATGTGGAAACCCCTCGAGGCCTCCGCACCTTTAAGACTATCTTTGCTGAGCATATCAGTGATGAGTGCAAAAGGCGTTTCTACAAGAACTGGTGAGGGAATGAGGGGAAGCTTGGCAAGCCCTTGGTGGTACTGGAAAGAGGGGGGGGCACTTTGTGTAGGCCTGGGGGCGGTGGGAGCATTGCTCTGGTGTTGAGTTCAGCTGTCTCGAGCAGAACCATTCTAGGGACACAGCTTGAGCAGCCTTTGGCTTCCTGAGCAGCAGCAGTGCCTTGAGATAAGGCTTACTGTTGGCTGAGCATTAAGTATCTTATTGGTTCTTGGGGGATACTGAGAGTCCAGTTACAGGCCGACAGATAGTATAATCCCAGTCCCACCAGTTGTGGTCTGCTTAATGTCTAGACCAGAGCGAGAATTGGTGTGTGAACTTGAATGTGTGGCTTACATTAACCTGTGGACCTCTGCTCAGCTCCGCTCGGCTCTGCCCGATGAGCTCCATCCAGGCTCCGCTTGCCGGTGGAAAAGGCTCCTTAGAAGCCGGCAATGAGCCCCATCCCCACGGTGTGCCTATGTGCCTTCCGCTCACCCCCTGGAGGGTTGATGAAGGACTGCACCCGGCCCCCCTCCCCAACTCTGCTCTGCTCCTGAAGGCATAAATCTAAGAAGAAGGCTTTCACCAAATACTGCAAGAAGTGGCAGGATGAAGACGGCAAGAGGCAGCTGGAGAAGGACTTCAGCAGCATGAAGAAGTACTGCCAGGTCATCCGCGTCATTGCCCACACCCAGGTGAGCAGGCAGCAGCGGGCTAAGCAGCAGGGTGTCTTCCCGTGGAGGCAGTGGTCTTTAATGGGCTCTAGCTTTGTCTATTGGGTGCAACCTTTCAGGGCTTGATTGCCTTCTGAGTGGATTTTGTGCCGTCTCCCAGTATTTTGTGGGGAGAGGGATAAGAATGGTTTGGTTCCTTCGACTTAATTTTTCATAGAAAAGAGGCCGGGGCCTCCCTGGTGGCACAGGGGTTAAAGTCTCAGCACTGTCAAGCTGTCGCCTCTACAGCCTAAGTTTGATCCCTGGCCAGGGAGCTGACCCACATGATGCAGCCAACCTCTCTTATCTCGCCTGCTGCTCCCCACTCTGTCTCTGGGGAATTATCTCTCACACCCCCACACCTCTGACCTACACCACAGTTCTCGTATTCATAAATAAAATCAGTCTTGGGAGAAAAGACCAATGAGCAGCTGGGTTGTTGAAGTTACACAGCAGCACAGTCCAGCATCTGCCCTTGCCTTGCCCTTACCTTCCTGGGTGCCTGGGTCCGGTTAATCACAGGTGGAGGGTGACCTGAGAAGGCAGAGCATCCAGTGCCTCCTCTGTGGGTTTTTCTGTTGCCAGCAGAGGGCACTGTGTCCCTAGTGGCTCTTAAGGAAAACCGATGGAGTGAACTGTTGACTGGGATGGACATAGTCAGGTGCCTAACTGGAAACAGGCTCGTCGGTGGTGAGATAGATAAAGGCTGCCTTCACTGCAAACTGTGCTCGTGAGCAGAGCCAGCCCCGGGTAGTTTGGGTTGGACCCTTGGTGCTTGGTCTGGACCACCTTCCTCAGTAGACAGACACGCCAGACTCCTGAGTGCTCATTCACCCGCGCGGTTAGCAGCAGTGCAGATCTGTGGCGTGTCCCTCATTGGAGGAATTGAAGGGTGACTGTATCCGTATGGGAAGGGCCCAGCCTGGGTTCTCTGCAGAGCTAAGCTCCTCGGTTCCCTCCTAGATGCGACTGCTGCCTCTGCGCCAGAAGAAGGCCCACCTCATGGAGATCCAGGTGAACGGAGGCACGGTGGCCGAGAAGCTGGACTGGGCCCGCGAGCAGTTGGAGCAGCAGGTCCCTGTGAACCAAGTGTTTGGGCAGGATGAGATGATTGATGTCATTGGGGTGACCAAGGGCAAAGGCTACAAAGGTGAGCTGCTGCGGTGGCCCCAGTGGTCAGGGGAGGAGGAGGGCTCTCGGGCCCAGCTGTTCGGTGATGAGGCTCTGGAATGAGCGCTGGCACAGCGCCCGAGTCACGCTGCGGAAGTATTCCTTGCTGCCTTCCTTCTGAGAACTGCTGGGCCAGTGACTGAGGTGGTATAGCGGGCTAGTGCCACCCACCTGAACCCTTTAGTTTGTAGCCTGCTGCAGAATGCAAGGGGGTACTTGAAAATGAGGCCACCCCCTGCTTGTGGGCAAATTCATAGATGCTTTAAAGAACACATGTTCACGTTCAGGGCTGATTCTCCAAGGCCTGCTCTGGTTTCCAGTTTAGAACTAGGCGGTAGTCAGCCTGAGAGGGGAGTGGGGACGTGAGGCTTGAAAGTGACGTGCAGACTAAACTCACTTCTGTTCCTCACACTTACCCTGGTGTCGGGTGCTACGAGCACCACAGACGGTGAGCTCAGGGTGGGCATTCAGAGTAGAAAAGGGCCAGTGATCGGTGCCACACACCCAGTAACAGCAAGTGTCTGTTCCAGGGTCACCAGCCGCTGGCACACCAAGAAACTGCCCCGCAAGACTCACCGAGGTCTGCGCAAGGTTGCGTGTATCGGGGCCTGGCATCCTGCGCGGAGTGGCCTTCTCTGTGGCCCGGGCTGGGCAGAAGGGCTACCATCACCGCACAGAGATCAACAAGAAGTGAGGTGCTGCGGGTCTGGTCCTGTGGAGATTTCCTACAAGGCAGCATATCGGTGATCCCAGTATTGGGAGTGAGTGTTCCACTCCCTTGCTGCGCCTTGGACATGTTGTGGACTTGAGCCGCTTGTGGCTGATAGGGCACAGATCTGGCTCTTGGGAGGTGGGGTTTGTCGGTTGCCACCTCATCGTGACCCAGGGTGAGAGCCATCCTCTTTGGAGAGTCCTTGTCTCAGTTGTGCGCTAGTAGCTTTCGTTTAGGCCCAGCCAGCTTTGCTTTCTGCACTGAGTCTGGGGTACTGCTCACTAGATTTCCCAGAGTCCTTTGTACCTAGCCCATGGTGGGGGTATTTGTCCCTAGTGGTGTGTGGGTCTCCTGGGTTCTCTTACCTGGCTACTCCTTCCCAAACATTATATTCACTCTCTGGCCTTCAGATCTACAAGATAGGCCAGGGCTACCTCATCAAGGATGGCAAACTGATCAAGAACAACGCCTCCACCGACTACGACCTGTCTGACAAGAGCATCAATCCTCTGGTGAGTGAGGGAGTGTCTTGCCTCTCCTGGATCTGATGGGGTTATCTCCCTCATACTTGGAGAGTCTGCCTGAGACCTTGCTTTTGGGAGGGGTCCCTGGAATTACTGGCGCCTCACTGCCTTATGGGGGATGTGTCTGCAGGGTCGGTTAATGTGTTATCAGAGCCAGCATCTGTCAGTGGTTGTTTGCTCCCTGTGAGTGGCCTCCTGGGCTGGTGGTTAGGCATT